TACATTTTGAACCATAAAAGTAAAGAAAATTTCTTTGTAAAATCACATTTCAGAAAAATTAATTGAGTTCATACTCAAATGCGCATAAAAAAGCAGTAAAATAAATAAACAATATTTCCACAAGATTGTCGGTAACATCACATCACATTTTATTTTATAATTCAATCAAACACCAATTGGTTCCTTCACAAAGAAAACTATATTTCATTTTTATAATTGAAAGTATATAATACTATATACTACCACATAGTACTTTTAAATAAAGTTTACACAAAAATTTCACTCTGTTAAATCAAGCTCCAGTAATTTATGCATATTTTATCTGGAAGCTTTCAATTGCTATATAATTCACTTATTTACAATATCTATTTGTATATTATAACATAAACGTTACATGGAGAAGTAAAATAACAAGACTTTCCAGCCAATCTAATAAAAATCTATTATAATTCACTTATTTACAATATCTATTCGTACACTGTAACATAAACGTTACATGAAAAAGTAAAATAACAAGATTTTCCAGCCAATTTAACAAATCTATTTTCACAAACAGTGGAGGCTACGATATATTCAAATATTTCCTTGTAATATGCCGTCAAAAATCCAGATAAGTCCACTGGTTTGCACCTGACACACGAAAACATCAGCGAACCGCTGCCTGCCCCGGCATGGACGCTACGCAGGCAGAGCCATTGAACGAACTGCAAACGATAACGCGTCCGTGGCAGATTGTCTTTCAGGTTTTTGCTATTTTGTCATAGTCAGCCTGTGGTCTAGGGGTACGATTGATCACCGTGAATCCAGTGTATGGATAGAAACGGGTATTCGAGACTACATGCTGATTTTCAATTTTTTCCGAGGCATTTTTTCGGTCAAAGGTTAACATGGTTCGAGAGGGGTGCGACCCGGTTAAAAACTCGAATTTAATTCGCTTTTTAGAACGAATATTCATGAGAGTGACGTCAAAAGGCCTTGATCGAGGATAAAACGTGGCGCATCAGCGATAACGTTATCGATATAGGCATTGCAGTCAGGTGTAACGGGTGTTTTCCAACGTCCGAGAAGTCGCGTCTCTCGCGAAGTTATAGGTCAGGCGAGACTGTATTACGATGGATTACCGGAACATATTTGTGCACGTTTTATCATTTGTTATTTAATTTGTTAATATTGGGGTATGTTGAATGTATCTGAGTATGTAATGTGGTGTTGAATTAAACTTAAATATTCTATATTCAATTGAATTAAAATTGAATATTTGGATATATAAAATAAAATGATTCGTTATGTTTAGTATTTATGTTTTAATTTAATTAAACATTAAGCGATCGACACAAATTTCGTATTGTAACATAGGAAAATAGATAAAAATTAATGAAGTTTTTGTTTATGTACAAGTAGTTCAGTAGGTACAATATACTTGTCTTGAATTCTGTTTCTTATAAAACTGACTTTTTTGAAGTTGAGAACTATACGGACAATTTCAGCAGACATATTTCGTGTGTTTCACGTAGGAAGATGTTAGATAGTTTCATAAAAACGCGTTTGTTGCTAAAGGAAATTAAATTTTACACAAAATTCATACAAAAATTGTGCAATGTTTAACTGATGGGAAATGATTAACGTAAGTCTACATTATGCTTAATCCTGCAGGTAGTAAAATTATGTGCACTGATTTTAATTACGGGGTCAAAATAATTGTTAAATCTTCATATGCATATATTATAATGCTTTATCAACAGTACCAATTGCTCCTTTATATATATCGATTTTCTTCAATAATTTTTTATCTAGATACAATTATATTTATTTCCATTTACATTGTACAGAAACATACGTTTAATATTGTTAGAAAAGTATAGCACATATATATAATATATACATACATATCGACGTTCGTTTTGTTGTTCTGGGTAACGATTTTGTTATTTGTGGTTTTGTTTGTTTTGTCCTTCGTGTTAATAGTCCTGTTGTAATAAGATTTGTATTCTATTTAATAAATAAAGAAGTGTTATTATTTAATAAACCCAACAAATATTATATTTCACAGGCCACCGTGTGTATGGTAACTTTACTGCAAATTTCTGATTGACTGACCTTGCCATCCTGATCACAACGATTATCTCGTAAATGATAACGCGAATTAAATCAAGCGTGATTCATGCAGTGTCGCGTGAAACCGCGTAGCTGCATTTCGCGGTTGGAGAAAAAGAAAACAGAGGATACTATTCGCTGATGTAAACTAATATCTCGACGCAAAACGTAATGCCTCGCACAAGGAAACAAAGTTAATTATCCCTTTATTGTTTTTTTTAATGAAATCATTATCTAAATCGGATTCATTTCAGGTTTCACTTTCTACATGACTGGAAAAAGATTTAATAGACACACGTGGTGAAAACAGCGTTTCCGCTTGATAAAAACGATTCGGTGTTCATTAATGGACGTCTATTGACGATGACACACTTTCTAAATAAATCAATCATTAATTGTGATGTTCTTTTAATTGTTTTCGATATTATAATAACGTCAGATTTAATTGAGCAATACATCATGCCTTCTGAAATGATTGCTGCTGTTAAATGCTGAATGCCATCAAAATACTGTTTTAAAATTTTATTCATTCTTTTAACCGTTCATTTTGTTTCGAGATCATCACTCAGATATGGCAGATTGCGTTTCGATAATTGTCATAAGAGACAACAGAGAATATTTTTTCTTAACGATAATGCCAATAAAAGACGTTTATTTTTACAAAACATTTATTATATACTTAGAAATTAAGGACATAAGTATGCTATTTAAATTTAAAGAGTACTTTCATCTTGAAGTTCTAAAACATAGGAAAAATAGTTTTTAACGTTCCTTTCAAGAACGTTTATACATGCACAAGAATAAAACAAAGAGAATTTTTAATTTAAATTAACTATTCGACAAAAATGGTAAATTACTTGTTGTTACATTTAGTTCCATTATCAAAGCTTTATTATTATTTTTTCATTTAATACTTGCCCGATTGTTATCAATAATAATAGTAATAATAATAGGACATTTTTTAATTACAATATATAATTCGATATAAAGAAACAATGAAGAAGGAAAATAGATGTGAAAAATTATAATAGAGAATCAACGTTTGAATAGTTTTACGAGTGACATTATTTTTGAGAACTTGCAATGGTGCATGTGGAAGTAAAATATAATTGTATTTTTCTTTTTAGATGGATTAAGTGATTTGAATGATTATTAAAAGCAGAAATACTTCTGTGGTCTGCCGATTCTTATTTTTCTTCTCAAACGTGTCAGGAGTAGTTCTCAATTTACTCATTCGTGAAACCGGTTCATGTTACGTATCTTGTATAGGTGTATCTATTGTAAGAGATAGATAGGTAGATAGGTGGATGGATAGATAAATAGATAAATAGGTACAGAACCGCTTTAGATTGGCGTCGAAAGGTGAATGGAAAAAGGTTTTGTTGCGGAAGTAGTAATAGCTCGGTTTCGTCAACGCATTAAATTACAATTTTCACCGTAATTTGACGGGAACATTTTTTACACCTAACCTGTGCGTTCAGTTTTCTATTTTATATATCAGATGGAAAGATAAATTCTCCATTATTATTGTACATTCAAATTAATTCGGATTGAAGTATAGAAAAATGTGTAAAATCACGGTCAATGTACTGTGTCGAATAGTGAAAGTTTAATAAATTTATTATTAATAGATTGTTTCAGCATCAAAAATATGAAATAAATTTAGTATTACTAAAATACTGAGTATAACGAAATTAATTCACGTCAATACAAATTCAACGAAAAACACTTGATATTAATGGTAAACGTGAATTACGAGCAAAGTATTGAGATTGAAGTATTACGTTCTTTAATTTATATAACTGTCTACATATAGATTATTAAAACCATGCAATCAATGAAGAAGATTAAACGATGGTACGAAAATATAAACAAATTTATTAAGGTGTAATTAAATTTGATGAAGTACCTTGTGCTCTTGTTACTTCACAAATAATTTAAAGTTTAAAATGAAACTGAAAAGAGTACAAGAAAAATAAAAACAAATTGATCGTCAAAATGAACTATACAAATATAAAATAAATTATGCAAACATCAGTGAAATGAAAACGAAAAGAAACTAATTTACTTAACACTCTACATGTAGTAAATAATATTATTGCCAACCTGTTAAGTTCCTCCTAGTTTACTCCATTTCAAACATCATTATCCTCATACAACAATCTTATTCAGTTTCTAAAGTCTTCTTTACCATCCCTCAACACAGAATCACACTGTAACCCTAAACACACCAACAAAATGAAGAAAAACGAAATGTACTCACCACGAATCAACTCACAACATCGTCGAATACTACAAAAATCGAATAAAAACAAAATTATCCACGAACTCCATCACGGATCACCAAAACAAAGAAACCACGACGCGCTACATCCACAAGCCGACAACCCTTAGAGGAATGCTCATCGCAACCTTATTCAATTTCCAAAACCGCCACCATCCATGATCACCAAAACACGTATCACCTAAAACACTCTATCAAAATCAAAGAACCTCCAACCTACTGATAGACTCGCAATACCGTGAAGCACTCAACAAGTCAATAAAAAAAGATCACCCACGAACTTCGTCGAAAGGCATTGCGTAGTAGGAAAACAAAGAATCCACGACGCGCAGGGTCCACGAGCCGGTAGCCCCCAGGGCGCACAATCGTAGGGCTATCGGCCGTCAATAAATTGAAGAGGTGAATGGGTCTCGGACGATGCGAAGGAGATCGGTGAAGTTTCGAACGAGCGTGGGCAGAAATCGCGTGGCAAGGTGTACACTTCCGGGTGTTCAAAGCGCATGTACACAAATATGACGTCCGACGTCGGGGGAGGGTAGGTCGGTCTCGGCAAGCGTACGCGGTGCGACGAGGACGCGGGGGTTTGGCGGGGTTTGTCCGGATCGATAGCGCGCACGGGGATGCGCGAACACCTACGCTCGTCGCCGGCGATCGTGACGACCTGGCCGCCACCGTGACTCGAGTATCCGGCGAGAGTTCCCCCGATGTCAATAGCGTACGTGCGTTCCAGTGACGAGCACCGGACCCGGTAGCTCGCGAGAGACCCCCTAGGTCCAGTGTGTGTGCCTCGCAAGCGCGCGTGATCGGTTCGTCGCGATCAGAATGTCGGCCGGCCGCGGTCCGATCCAGCTCTGAACGGGAGCCTATCCGCGAGTGACTCTCTCCCCGATGCACGAGGTCGTGTTCACGCGCGGAACCGCCGCGGACGCCGGTATGGTGTCTCGTTGAGGGATAGTGAATAATGTCCGTGATGTCCCGAGGCTCGCCCTGGTGCCGCGTCGCACCGGGGATTAAGAAATCCACGTTTCTGCTGATCGTCGTGCTTGTTGGCTTGTTGTCACCAGGCGTCGCCGGCGAGAAGAATAAAAAATGTAAGTGGGCAAGTCACGTTGTCTCTGTTGTTGTTGTTATTCTTCTTCTTCTTCTTCTTGTTTTGTAGGTTTCTGTTATTTTTTTCTCTCTTTTTTTCATTGACGATGGGATCTTGGTTCGGTTCTTTTTGAATTCCGTCCGGCATCGGTAACTAGCTACTCTCGCACCGAAGGCCCACGAACGTGACAAATTGGCGTTGTTTCCGTGTGGAATGTGGTTTGAATGTTTCGGGTCATGCGCTCCGGGGGACGCCTCCTGGAGGCTGTTGCGATTTGTCGAAAGTACTCGACACGTTTTTGAATGACGCTCGTATTTAATGAAACTGATTGGGTGAGTTGGATGGGAGGGGCGGGTTTCGGAATGAATTTGTCTTTCGTAATTTGTTTGTGATTGTTGGGTGTTGGTTCATTTGTAGCGGGGTTTTGTTTATGTTGTTATTGTTTTGGTGATGTTGGGGAGTTTGTGTTAGGTGAGCTTCTTTTGATGATGAATATGCGTTGTTGACTTCGATGGTGTTTATGATATGCGTAGAGTTTTTGAAATGTTGCAAAATAATTGATATAAACAAGTTTGTAGTTTCCACTATAAACATTCTTGTTTAAATTTATGTATTACTGGTACGTGTAATTAAAAACAAAAATGTTAAATTACTGATCCATTTTAATTCGGGGGCAATTAATGAGAAGTTAAATTATATCTATTTATCTCGGTATATAGATTTTTTATTCTATAATACGTTCGTATACTATATTGTATTTTATAATAAGTATTCTTAATTCCTCGTTAATTTGTTTCTTTGAATTTTACATGGTTTTACTTTGTATTAGATTGCCTTGTTCTTCGTATTGCTTCTACCATGTTCCTAGGACCACGTGGAAAGGGGCAGCTTACTACAGGCATCTTTTAACTCAGACAAAAATCAGAGAACTTAAATTTAATATTGGTACATACCTGATTGTGAATGCTTTAATCTACTTATGTAAAGTAATTGGAAATTAAATATTTTTAAATTGTCTTACTAAGTTGATGATATTGTTTATGCCCATGAAAACTGAAGAGAATAATAATATTTTTGGATTACAAATATAAATAAATTATTGATTGATTATAGATAACGAAAGGAAAACATGAAACAAATACTAATTCGTGTCATATGAGATTGTATACAACATAATAATAGTATTTTTTAAATTTAAGATATATTTTTCACATATGTTAAAATGTGCACGTTATTTTGTAAAATGAAAATAACATTAAGAAAACATCACATTTGTTACTAGTATTTTAAATTGCAAGAAAATAGGCACTTAGTTTAATAATTATGTACTGTAAGTGCTAATAGTAATTTAACAAATTATTTAAATTTTCATTTCTTTAAATTTGTTGAGTATATTAGTTTCTGAAACAGTGAACATTTCTTTTAAAGTATATTCGTCATGTCGTGGATTATTTGAATTTTTATAAAAGTTTAAGTACTGATGATTGAAGCTATTATTAGCAATTAGGATGTAATTATGATGATTAAGTACACAATTTAAAAAGAAAAATACGCGCAATAGATATTTCTGACTGTTCGATCGGAAAATATGATATCACGTGTATCCTATTTACAATAATTACTATGTTCCTCTGATATCGAAGAGAATGCGTAAAAAACCAAGTGAAAGCTTGTAGAAATTATAGTGATAGGATTAAGAAAGGTACGAAGATTGAAGTGTCCATTCCTATATTCTTATTCTATGTTTTACATGACGTATTTGATGATTTGTTTGTTTAAGAAAAAGTATTGGGCGATCTCATAAATAATACGGTTTTTTATATTTCTTTTATTTTTACAAATAAAGATAAACAAAATTGTTTTAGTCTAGAATATATTCTCCTACATTATCTATAAATTGTCTACCTATACATTATAATTACTTTAAAAAAAGTTCCGTTCATCATTATTTTTAAAAATAAAAGAAATATAAAAAACCATATTATTTATGGAGTGACCCAATAAAATTCCGCTAACCAAAAATCTTATCAATAAATCAAATACATGTGGAATCCGTTTATTCACCGGAGTCTTCCTAAAGGATATCCCGGGAATAAGGAAGCCTGATGTTAAGATAAAATGATAAGAAATCGATAGAGAACACTAACAATATATTAACAAGTATAAAGGGTTGCAGACTTATACGTTCTTTCGTAGCTGGACGCAGACTAATTCTTTCCTGTAGATAAAAATATACTGCCCTACTCCTTTTAATCCTCGTCGCTCTTTTAATTGTTTATCTTTAGGCTGTCGCATACATCGCACTCGCCTGCTTCACTGCTCACATACATTTAAACGAGTATTTTGTAAGAACGTTGTTTTTACGAAAAACATAATGCAAGAAATGTTTATTCCTCAAAGTAACAGGTGCTTTCAATTTGAAATAAAATATTAATTTAATTCATCTTTTGTTAAAACTTTTGAATGATTTGTATTAGTACGTATAGACGTTGCAAGTGATAAAATCTCCGATATACAATAAAATTAAAATTGACGCAACAATTTTTATCTCGAATTAATTCTAGTTGGAATCATTTCTACTACCTTCTTATTTCGTAGTGTGCAAACTTTTGTCAATGTGCAAAACGCGGTCGAGTGCCTTTCATTGTTGGTCTGTCTCTCTTACTCTTTATGTATCTGGATCGCTGGTCCCGTTCAGTGGTTATTGAAATGAGTTGGACCAATTCATGGCAAAAATATAGTATGTTCCCCGGTTTAGCGTTCCTCTGGCGCCCCAATTCCGTTGTAGTAATTCCTAACATACTGTTGTTAAATGCACAACTTTTTTGTAACAGCGTTGGGATTACTGGAGTATAATTCAAATGAACTACGAATTCGTTTACCCCTCAGGTTGTTTTTATTTGTATGTATGTTTAATTAATTGCAGTAAAAATTATATACATGATATTTTAACAAAACTGAAAGAAAAGTAGTTAAAATATTAAAATTCAATTATAAACCTGATTTGAGTATAAGTTCTAAATATATTCCTGTAGTTTTAGTAAATTAGATTTTCTTGTATTTAATTGTTACTTTAATAAATGTCGCTAGCTTTTATCCTTATTTATGTTATCTGTAATTAAGTATTTAGTATAATAAATATTTCTGTTTTTATAATGGAACAGTTTTATTAATAATTTAGCTATAAATATCTATAGCTAGTTTTAAACACTTACATGTATATTTTAATGGATATTTTTCGATATATAAGTTTAATATCTCAGTTCAATGGAAGAAAAGAAATTTGGACTTCAAGTTAAACATGTGTCCTTTTTTCCTGCCAAAAACTTATGGAATAAAATGTCTAAATCGTGACTCTTTAATGTAATTATTAATGTAACAAGGGAAAAACCAATTAAATACGTTGGTGAAGGAGTAAGACGGAAGCAGTTCGCAGAGCGACTCTAATGCGAGTCTTGAATATTAATGTTACACAAACATTACCTAAAGTTGCACTTTACGTCTTTACGAAGCATTTAGTACCCACTTTGACGAAACGTTTTACTATCGACTACGTCAACTAAATGCAGGATATGCAAAGTGGGTACTAAATGACTAAATTGACGAAACGTTTTACTACCGACTACGTTAACTAAATGCAGGATATACAATTTGACGCTGGTTCACGTTAGATATACCGTATTAAAATAAATTGACAATATTTTCTCAATGCACCTTTGAAATAGTTATCTCTTTAATACATTCTTTCAACTGATTTGTTAGTATATGAGTGTAGTATATGAAATTTTTAATTCTTTTGAATCATTTAAATTAGATTAAATTAGTACAATGAATAGAAACATAATCGATTAATTATGTCAGCTGTTTTAAACTGATTAATTTTCATCCATGTTGTTTTAAGTAGTCTTATTTTTCATTCACATTAATTAATACTATTAATTACAAGAAACAATCGTTTTGAAATGAATATATTTAATATTTGAAACCGATACTCTAAAATATCTGTGATATTTGATTGAGTATGTGAAATTTGGAGTACGTATAAACACTTGCAATCTATTGATTCGTTTAAAAAACTTTAATTTTTAATTAGGAAGCTATTTAATTCTATCTTTTCAGCTAATATCAAACTTAGAGGAGGATATTGAAGTTGTTTGTAGTAGTATGTAGGTACACGAAATTCCAAGAGTCTTTGTACGTGTACGTTCATTTCTGCATAGACGTGATGTGGTTTGCATTCAAATGAACAGTCTCCCATTTGAACATCTGTCGTGAGTGTGTCTGACCCTCAAGTTCTCCAAGGTCACTTGTTGATACCTTAGTCTATTAATTACTATGCTAAAAAATTGAGTGTTATAAATATAATTAAATCGGCGATTCAATTTAATAAGCATTTTTTTATTTCCCTCGGTGAATTCTAATGTCTATTTTCTTCACTGTCGTTCATAATTACTTTGTATATAGGAAGTGTAATTCTTTTAACTATTTTAATTAAGCTCTTTGTTATAATTTGAAAATAATAAAGCAAAACAAAAAAAACAGAACAGAATTACATTTTAAAATAACAAACAGGTTTATCATTTCCTCAATAATTACATGACAAACATTTTAAAGTTCCGTTCCTACAAAATTCTGTCTTTTAAATTAGTAAGTGAAATTAATTTAATTTAGAAGTTACAATTAATTATTTTATATTTCTACAATATATATAATTAATGAAGTTATTTCCTTTCGTGATTACTTCAGCACAAACTAATCACATTAATGTTACTACACAACAATAACAAGAAACATTCATTTATTTTGGTATATAATTTTGCTGTAAAATTATGCAAACTCTCAAGTATCATATTTCTTTCAGTTACGTTATTATCACTTCTTTAATTTTTTATTTTATAAACGTACTCTTCTATCGTTACGAACAACGTTAAAAAAATATAACAGTGGAAATGAATTACATATTATGAATTAATATATCAACTTAATTTTAATTATATATAT